GGTTCATGGGGCCAAAGTGACAAATAATTTCAGCATACTGCTTTGTAACCTCGGTCCCACAAAAACCACTCAGGATCCTGTTAAAGGCAATGGATTTTATCAGTCAAAAACATCCAGTGTGAACTGACTGATGATGGACCAGGACCAAACACCTTTATGCACACGTGAAATGCTACTGAGTTTGGTAATTTCATTTGCACATAGGTGTCTGCATACGAACTAGAGTCTTAAGTACTTTGCTCTCTACTAAGGTTTTAAAGTATAGAAGGACAACATGGATTATAACACTTCTGTCACTTCAAGTTAAACAACATACATGATACCCTGAAACCCTGATTTAAAAGCAAAAGAAGCTGATCAGTGCAGCTTCTCTACATAGCAACCATTTTTTCTTCTTTAAATGTATATGAATAACTTTCTTTGTATTTAAAAAGTTACAGATTTAGAGATCTTTCTATCTAATACTGACATCATTTTAAATTAAGATGGAGTACAGGGATGACAACACCAGGGAAAATTTCCAAAGCTTTAACTTCTCACCATTCTATCATCACCTCAAAGTCAATTTTCACCTTTTTCACTGGCTGAATTTGTTATCTTACATTTTGCTTTGGGGCTCATGTTCTTGCAATATGGCAGTATTGGATTACGAGAATACTGACAAGCCTGTTTGCTAAAAATGAACAATGGCTGTATTACAGCAAGTCTGTAATATCTAGAAAGAAAAGGAAAAGCAGACCTGACAAAGCACACTCATTTGTTAATTACATGTGGATTGCAAATGCTCATATATCTAGTGAGTAATAAGTAAAGCCAAGCCTGAAGTTGCTTGTGAAGATTTTTGACACAAGGAGATTTTTTTTACACTCTTGATCACACAGCAAAGCCAGTGCCTGAAAATTAATTACAGATCAGGGCTTAATATTTACTACTGAAAATAATGCATGTTCATTAACACCTAGCCTGAACTACTCTTCAAGTATGACAGACCTGCCAGTTAGGAAAACTTTGGGTGCGAGCTACCTATAAGGGGAACACCCCACCCCACCTCAAATCCCTTCTGACAACTGTGGATGAGGATTCCAGCAAAATGCACAAAACACAGTAACAACTAGGGCTGTGGACTGGCCAAGGACTAAAATAGCACAGCCAGCCTTAATTCCGCCATTGTAAAGCTTCTCAATGCTTCACTTGGTAACTCATGTAAAATCCTCAACACAACCTTCTGTCACTTAAACAAAGACACCATGCAGCAACATTTCAGCAACCGAATAAACATTCTGGGTTTTTTTCTGGTATGGCAAAAATATACTAACAGCACAGATACAATTGGATTCCTATACATCGGGTTCCACACTTTTTAAGCAAAACCCAAACTTTTGAGCGCCTATCTGAAACTGGTCCCAAGTGTACAATCCCTATTTCCTCTATGCCCTTTCTAACTAACAGTGGATGTTGTCCAAGAATTTATTGCTTGCTTCCACCTGGAGTAAGAAACAGAGAAAGGTCCTGCAAAAATCACAAACTACCTGAAATATATAAACCAAACAGACCACATAAAATAGAGCTAAGCAGTGACCGCAAGAACTGTGCAATAATTTGCATCAGAAACAAGAGATGAGTAACAGGTAAAAAACTACATAGAAAGAAGTACCCGGCATCTGGATGAAGAAGGGATGCAGGAATATCTAACAACCAGTGAAACCCCCGATTATTACAAGAGGAGATGCTAACCACCTAAGATTTCCCACCATGCTCAATAACACTAATTGGTGGCTACAGCACTACATACTCCTTTTTACTGATTTTCAGAATTGTGTAATAACACATAAAGAAAAAACATGTAAATCACAACTAAAAGTTCCATTTAAAAAAAATCTGATCAAACTCCTTGAGAGCTTGAATATTTAGCTCTTTAACCACTCCTTTCAAGATAAAATTTACACTCTTCATTCCAAATAATGAACACCACAAACAAATTAAGAGCAAGGCTTTTGAGTAACAGGACCAAATACCTTTCTTCCTGCTTTTTCTTTTTTTTTTTAACTGGAAATAAGGATTAAGAGACAAGAAAAAACAATGCGTACCTTTGATTTCTGTAGCTATGTATTTAATGAACAATCAGTACGAAGATCTTAGAAACTAACATCGTGGATATGACCAAAACACACCAGTGTTTTCAGAATTTGCAGAGCGTGAGGTGTTCTGACATGAAGAGAAGGCTGAAAGCCTTTTGGTTACATTAACACAAGGACTGCAGATGTTATTCTGGATTTTAAACTCTAAAGAATCCTTTCAAACCGTTCAGTCTTATAAAACTCACTGGAGTGTCCCAATACATCTTTCATTTTTTAGCTCTTTTCCCAGAACAGTTCTTTAAAATGTGGTGTCAAACAACTTCAGGAAATCGCAATTAGCTTCTCCCTTCAAGTTCCCAATACAGGTCAAAGACACCAGCAATATCAAAAAGGTCATTCTCATTCAACTCCCTTCTTGACAGTGGCAACTTATGTTCTTCATTGCAAATATTATCTAAAAGAAGTTTAATTAAAAGTTGAAACTCTTCTTCTTTTACTTAGATATTTTTGCCCTTTAAATTCAACACTGCTTTATCTCCTGTTATTTTTTCCTATCTTTTGAAGCTATAATTTCATTCCTTTCACTGTATTCTTCTAGCTCTGTCTTACTGCCCATGCCACTCTGAAACAAGTCACAACCGTTCTGCAAGCCTGATTCTCTCCTTCTACTTATATACTGCTGCTGTAACAGCCTAGATTTCCACATGACTGTAAGAGACATTTTAAGCAGCTTAGGAAAATTATGAAACCAGTCTTCAACACCTCTGTTTTAGACCCCCAAAAATGTCCAGGATAGGTACCAAAACCTGTACTGTCTATCTAAGCTACTCTCAATAACCCTACTTTTCTCTTTACACATTTGTGAATCTTCAACTAGGGATCCAGACATCAGCATCTGAAAATGACAGCTATAACCAAATGCACATTAAAGAGAAAATGAGCTTTCTAATAACCCATGACCTCTACTACTGAAAACAGCACCCTACAGAGTTCTGGAAGTGCTGCATGCAAAAATCAACTTCAATCCTGGGCTGCAGCACATTCATTCTGAAGAAGGATAAAATAAAATAGTGTAACATAAAATTTTGTCATGGGATTTATCTACCAAATTGTTTACTGGATGCAATCACCTAATAACACAGCCACAGTTCCCTCCCAAACTGTGGCTGTCAAAAAACTCCTCCCATACAAATAATGACATAATTCACAGGTTCTACATTCTGAGCTTCAGAGGACTCCTTGATATTCACTCCCCACTGCCTGGCAAAGCCATGAGAATATTTGTGTCTTTTGTGACGACAAAACAAAGCATCAGACAAAGTAACAATTTACTAAACTGTGATTCTCCCCGTTTTTTCTTGTACGTGAGCCAAGAGGCAGTTAACAATGATGACATTAAAAACTACTGCACTGGTGTATCTGAGTTAACACCTTACTGATATGAACAGGGCAGCTCACACCTCTCGCAGCTATTGTCTGAGTTTCTGGACAACCTCACTTAGACATTTCTGCTTTTAGTTCACATTCTGAGGTTTTCAACATACCCGTAACAGCCAGGGACTTGATGGTGGGGGGGAAGGTAAGCAAAAGATACTGGATAAGAAGGTAGCAGATTTAGAGAGGTGTCAGTAAGCAATGCCACTGCCCAGCACATGAATCTCAGTATTGGTGTCATAGCACGTACCCAAAGTACACCCTCAGTAGTCCTACCACAGCTAACATACAACTGCAACGTCGATTAGGAGGGACATATAATGTCATTATAGACATAAACAGGGAAGCAGAATGCTGATGAACCCCAGTGTTTGGAGCCATCCTTTTTGCTATACGCTGAACACACAATAGCTTGAATTAAGCTAGTGTAATAACTAGACTTTTTCCAAAGGACAACTGGGAAGCAAAATTAGGCTGAACAACCACCACTTGAAATGCAGTGATAAGTTTTATAACATTTGCTTAATTTGATAACAGATCGATGCTTAGACGATACGATCAACAAAACCAGAACTTGATTACTGCACAAATGCCTTGTTTGCAGGGCCTGGAGAGCCAGGCCCAGGACAGGTTTCCATCAGAAACTGAGAGCTTGGCCTTGGCCGGCACCCTTCAGCTTTTGAAGAAGTGGTCACAGGCAGCATGGACCGAGATGCAGAGTCACGACGGCTGCAGTTCACCACCCACTACAGGTGTCTCGACACCTGGCGTTAGCTGAAGCATACCAACACCTCGCTGGGTTCGCTCTGCCCGGGGGGACTGGCCTTTTAACACCAATGTACCCAGCCAAAGGCACCCGCCTCAGGAACAGGGCGGAAGAGCGAATGTTACGTGGGTGTACAGACACGGGCTTAAATTCACTTCTGGGGATACGCGGCTATAACTGTTTGGACGAGATCTGGGTAGCACGGAGCCGAGAGCCACGTAACCGTGGCGTTTTGCCTTTACGGTTGTTACACAGCCAGGGAGGCTACAGCAGGCCGGGCGGCGGCGGCGGCAAGGCCCCGCCAGGACCTCGACGCCCCGGAGCAGCCCGCGCCGCCGCTGAGGCGAGG